TGTGTAGTTGGGATGCATGGGAATCTCAGCTGGGTTTGGATACTCTTAAGCATGTTGATGGGTGGCCGCATGTGTCAGACACTCGGCTGACCAAAAATAAAACGCTTTGAGATGCTTCAATGTTGTGATAAGGCGCTATATCAAATGCAAGGATGATTATTATTTATTATATCCTCTGAAGCACTTTGAGACGTCCTGCTGATATGAAAGGTGCTCTTATTAAATGTAATTCTTCTGAGCCTCTCCTTTTAATTGAATATCGCTCTAAAACGTACATACAAAATTCAATCACTCCACTTCATAATAAATATTGTGAAACGCTTTGAGATGTCCTCTTGGCATGAAAAATGCTACATCAAATGCAATGATTATTATTATTACAAAACCCTTTCATTACCAAACATCTCATCTCTCAACTTTCGTGTATGATGGCGCCTGGCATCTCCAACAAGAGATGCCCGGGTGGCTCTGTACTGTCTGGTATGCAATAAAAAGCCTTCGCACTTAAATATTGTCCCAACAAAGAGAGCACAAGATCACGTGTCCCCACTGGGCCCTACTTTGTTACTCCTACCAGTGGATACTTGACATTCCAACACACCCCAAGTTTTATTCTTACAAAACACAAGTGTCCTTCTGCCAAATCATATTGGCTTGTTGGGCTCAGAGAAAAGATCTTTGATCCAAGATATCAATGATCAAGATCGGGTAGAACACGCCGCCCTTTGCTTCTTCTGAATAACCAGAACAGAGACCTAAGACAGCAGGAACAGTGCAGCTTTTTCCATGGCCCCCAAGTCAATTTTTACAGACTCCCATAATTAAATCAACAAAGCATACTGGTTTTGTGGTGTGGGCTTGATTACAAAGAACTGTCCTACGCTTATTTCAAAAAGAAATTCAAAGGAAATAATTGACTACACTTTACAGTAAAAAAATCCTGTGAAGCATGAAAAGTAGATATGAAATGATATGAAAAGGTACAATATCAATTACAAGCATTATTAATCTTATACAAATGTAATTTTGTGGTGGTGGTGTAGTCAATTTCACAAAACTGCATTTCGAAAGCTATCATTAATTCAGTGGTTATAATGCACGATCAACAGTGCTCAGTGACTTGGTTACATATGGGAAAGAAGCTCTGGTTTTGCCTATTTTGCTTCATATAGGTAGGTGTGGTGTCCCACAGGCAGTCACCTGGTCCCTCATACCCTTCAGGTGTGAGTCAAATGCCCTCATCTTCCACTATTCGCAAAATTCTACTCATCCAAATTTCCGCCGCCAGCATTCTCACCCGCACTGAGCTCCTCACCCCAATTATCCCATTCCACGCCAAACTCTGTCACAGAGCGGATCAACGTCAAGATCCTCACTCTAGTTTAATCCCTCCATGCCTTGGGACTCCCCCTTTCTCTCCAACCTCCTCTATCCTCATAGCATTACCCGCTGCCTCCGCTCTACTGGCTCCAACCTCCTACTTGTCACTCAAATCCTCAGCTCCATCATAGGCAGCCATGCCTTCAGCCACTACGCCCCAAAGCTATGGAACTCCCTCCGTCAATTCGTTCACCTTGCCCCCTCTTTCCCCATTCTCAGATTGCGCTTGAAGACCTTCCTCTTCGACCGTGCCTGTGGTCACCTTCCCCCTCCTCTGGCTGAGCATCAGGCTCCACCATTGTTAAGTGCTCTGTGCTGCTGCTTGGCATGGAGGGTGCTATATACATGCAAGTTGGTGTTGTTGCTGTTTAGACAGGGAGTGTCAGCAAACTAATCAGCAATAGAGAGCACCACAAAGCATTCATTTTACCTGAGCCTCAAAACTAAACATGCTCAAGTGTGTGTGAAAAAAAATTAACCTAGGAACATATGTAAATATGTAGCAGTTTCCAAATGAGTTTAGCGTACATTGCTCCAACAACAAGAACATTTTACATATGGTAATTAGACGGTCAAATATTCCCCATTGAGTTTGCATCAAAATCCTCTTGATTGCTGGAAAATGTGCAAATACATGGCCCTGCATAAAAGTAACCCATTGGAATAAAACAAACTTATACTTCTACAAAAGTTCAGTGAATCCCATTCTCATTCTAGATCGGGCTCATCCTTTCCAGTTCACAAAACTGTTTAACAAAGCAATTTTACTTTATGCACAGCATCTGAAGGGGAGAAAATAGTTCAATCATTGCAATCATTTCCAGAAATTAATTGCACTTTTGCAAATGTCAAATATGAAGAATTTGTATATGGAAATAAAGAGCCAGGCTGAGAGATAAACTCCATATATTATATAGTGCTTTTCAGATTGGGAAGACGTCTTAGGAGTGTCAACAACTACTGTAAAGTGAGTGGCTGAACAGGCCGAAGGAATAATGTATCATCCAAAGGACAGAAATTCAAAAGGAAACTTGCCTACGGTTTGGCCCTGTCCGGGAATCAAACCCAGGTGCTCTCACCTGGGATGTGAGTGTTCTAACCATTAGAGCCAATCAATCTAGCCAAAGGTTTCGCCCCACTACTCTATGAGACTCTACAAGTCTACTCTGCCTGGGAATCGCACCCAGGTCCTCTCGCTTGCAAGGTGGGCGAGCTAACCACTGCACTATTCACATAAAGAATCGTCATACGGGCTAGAAACCAGATGAGTAGTCATCAGGTATCCCCAGGATAAAGGGGAAAGGAGAGAAGGCAGCAAAATATGCTTGGGGGGGGGCGTGTGTGGAAAATTTCAGATTTTGCATTGAGCTTGTATCAAGGGCAGACATTTACATTCTTCCATTCGTATCTTCTGAGCCACTTTATATTTGTTACAAATAGCCAGGCATCTTATCAAAATGTTTTAGTGGATCCAGATTAGACTTCCACATATGTACAACACTCACATAACAAAGTACTGCTGTATCTGCAATGGATTACGCAATCCCTCCCTTGAGTGAGGCAACCTTGTTTATAATAATAATCCTTGCATTTGATACAGCGCCTTATCAACTGGCTGCCGCGTTTCGCCCACAAAATATACGGTCAATTCATTGTGTAGTATATTCCGTAAAGCACTTTGAGATGTCGCGAAGGCTTCTGATACATGATAAGGCACTAGATCAAAGGCAAGGATTATTATTATAATAATAAAGACATCTCCTATCTGTTTGGACTTTGGCTTGTAGGGTTATCAGAAGCTAAGTAGAAAGAATCTCTGCTCCCCTTTCGGCTCGCGTGCCAATGAGCCAGACTGGGCAGTGCTGTCATTAGCTTGGAGTATTGCGAACCCGCCTGCCTCAGGAACCAGACTGAGACCAGCACAGTATTACTTGATCCTGACAATCCCATGTTAGGAAAGTCACGCTGGAGCCAGCTCAGCTTCAAGGAGGCCCCACTTATCTTCTCCCTCCCCCCAACCCCGCAAGAGGTTGTGCCTCGGATATTGTGCCCAGGCTGTGCACCACATCTGCCCAGGGAACAACATCTGCACAGCCCAGGCCCCACATCTGTTCTACGCACTTGCTCCAAATTCAGCTATGGTAAAACTAGGAAAGGTTTTGCAGACAGACTTTGTAGCTATCAATGGGGCATTAATCCATAATTAATAATCTATGTGACAGACTGGGGGGTGGTGGGGGGGGGGTCTGCGGATTCCGATCCACTCGCTGCTGGATTCTGTTCTCACCACGTTACGACACTTGATCCAATGCTTCCAAGACGCGTTTGGTGTGCCTGGTCCAATACAACATGTATGAGCCTTGGAATTCACCCGAACGTGCGGTTCTGCATTACGACCACGTTCAGCTTTCGACACGTTTACTGCCTCAGTCTTTTGTGTGTCAGGAACCTGTTCCCTGAACAGATGCCCTGCCCTCAAATTGCTCGGGGACTTTCAGCTAAATCTTAAGTCAACCCGTGGCAGTTCAATGATGGATCAGGGGAGTCTTTGCCTCCCATTTTAATTTACCAGGTTACAGAGTGAATCATCAAACACACACACCACACAAATAGAACCTCTTTGTTTCTGTTTCATGCAAATCCCCCCCTCCTCCTCCTTCCTTGTGTTATCTGAATACTCTTTCGCTCGGCTCCTAACTTGACTGAAACTGTATAAAGACTGTGAAACTGACACCATCCCCCCCATCCCCCCCCCCCACACACACACCACATAGTAAGCAGTGGGCTTGTGGATGCCATGGGCCTGGCTCTGTGCCACACAAGGGTTTTGACAGCAACAACAACAACAACAACAAGATTCCATTTATAAAGCGCCTTTCACGTCAGGAGGACGTCCCAAGGCGCTGCACAGTTGGGTCATGACCCGAGCAGGGGGGAAATGCAGGGCACGATCTGCATCAACAACAACAACAACAACAAAATAATAAAAGCGTGGAACAGCGACTCAAGCAATGCAATCGGTCCACAAAACACACGGTCGATCCGCTCGAAAATATATTCCGCAAAGCACTTTTTAACAGAGAGATACGTCTCGACACCAACCGACAACTTGCATTTGTCAGTCTTATCACATAGCTCAACGACATGATAAGGTGCTATAATATCAAAGGAAAGATTAGTTTGATTATTGTGGTCAGAACTCCCCCCACACACACACCCACCCCTCCCCCACACACACACACCCCTCCCCCACACACACACACCCCTCCCCACACACACACACCCCTCCCCCACACACACACCCCCCCCCACACACACACCCCCCCCACACACACCCCCACACCCCACCCACCCCCCCACACACCACACACACCCCACACACACACCCACCCCCCCCCCCCCCCCCACACACACACCCCCCACACACACACCCCCCCCACACACACACACACCCCCCCCCCCCCCCCCCCCACACACACACACCCCCACACACACACACCCATCCACCGGTCCCCTATCAAACAGTCAGATCTTTGTTAAGACTCTCTCTCTCTCTCTCTCTCACACACGCGGTGACCCTCCCTCAGGAGGTCCGCTGTCACCCTCCGCTCATTCCTTACCGCTGGAGGGCTGGAGGGCTCCACTCCCCCTCCACTCGCTGGAGGCGACGAACTCCAGGTACACTGCCCACACCCCGAGCCCGAGCACCACCAGGAAAACCAGCACTTTGAAATGCTTCCGAATCTTCTTGACGGGAAAGAGGGGCATCGTTTCGGACACGAAACAGTGTCTGTGTGGGGGGGTGGGTGTGTGGGGGGTGGGGTGTGTGTGGGGGGGGGGGTGTGGGGGGGGGGTGTGTGTGGGGCGGTTGTGGGGGTGGGTGGTGTGTGGGGGGGTGGGGGTGTGTGTGTGTGTGTGGGGGGGGGGGGGGTGTGTGTGGGGGGTGTGTGTGTGTGGGGGGTGTGTGTGGGGGGGGGGGGTGTGTGTGTGGGGGGTGTGTGTGTGTGGGGGGGGTGTGTGTGTGGAGGGGGGGGGGTGTGTGTGTGGGGGGGTGTGTGTGTGTGGGGGGGGGTGTGTGTGGGGGGTGTGTGTGTGTGGGGGGGGTGTGTGTGTGGAGGGGGTGTGTGTGTGGAGGGTGGTGTGTGTGTGGGGGGGGTGTGAGGTGTGTGTGGGTGTGTGTGGGGGGTGTGAGGTGTGTGTGTGTGGGGGGGGGGTGTGGGGGGGTGTGGGTGTGTGTGTGGAGGGGTGTGTGTGTGTGGGGGGGGGTGTGAGGTGTGTGTGGGGTGTGTGTGTGTGTGGGGGGGGTGTGAGGGGGTGTGTGTGTGGAGGGGTGTGTGTGTGTGTGGAGGGGTGTGTGTGTGTATGGAGGGGTGTGTGTGTGTGGGGGGGGGGTGTGAGGTGTGTGTGTGGAGGGGGGTGTGTGTGTGTGGGGGGGGTGTGAGGTGTGTGTGGAGGGGTGTGTGTGTGTGGGGGGGTGTGAGGTGTGTGTGTGGGGGGGTGTATGGGGGTGTGTGTGGGTGTGTGTGTGTGTGTGGGGGTGTGTGTGTGTGGAGGTGTGAGGTGTGTGGGGGGGTTGTGGGGGTGTCTCGGTCTCTCTGCTCGGGAGCTGTTGGCTCTTCTGAGGCGCTCAGTGAGGCTTCAACTCATTGTCACAAAAGTCAGTTCCACTCCCTCCCGCCCTGGGCTGCTGGTTGCCTGGCTGCTGGGCTGCTGGTTGCCTGGCTGGTTGCTGCTGGGCTGCTGGTTGCCTGGCTGGCTGCTGCTGGGCTGCTGGTTGCCTGGCTGGTTGCTGCTGGGCTGCTGGTTGCCTGGCTGGTTGCTGCTGGGCTGCTGGTTGCCTGGCTGGTTGCTGCTGGGCTGCTGGTTGCCTGGCTGCTGGGCTGCTGGTTGCCTGGCTGCTGGTTGCCTGCCTGGCTGCTGGTTGCCTGCCTGGCTGCTGGTTGCCTGGCTGGCTGCTGGTTGCCTGGCTGCTGGGCTGCTGGTTGCCTGGCTGCTGGGCTGCTGGGCTGCTGGTTGCCTGGCTGCTGGCTGCTGGTTGCCTGCCTGGTTGCCTGCCTGCCTGCTGGCTGCTGCCTGGCCTCGCTCGGTGCCTCCTCTCTGGCTCTGGGAGCTTTGGGGGGTAGAGGCAGCGGCTCCTCTGTGCGCTCAGATCTCCATTCCCAGCAGTTTGAGGCTTCGGCTTTTTCTTCTACGAATCCGATCCATATATTACATCAAAACAATCCCGAGGAGTCGCTGAAACAAAGGCGAACAGCACTTCCCTGTACCGGGACATCCCTCCTCTCCTCTCCTCTCCCTCCTCTCTCTCTCTCTCTCTCACCTCTTGTCGTCAGGAGGTGGAGAAAATCACCGCTACCGTCTCAGTACTTGGATCGGCGTCCCCTTAAAAAGGCAATGCACCCGCCGTCTCTCTCTCTCTCTCTCTCTCTCTCTCCTCCCTCTCTCTCTCTCTCTTTCCCCCCCTTCCCGGGGACAAAACAACTCAAGTCACCATTTGAACGACCGAGAATCTAAAGGGGAGCCCTCAGATTGCAGTTGGTTTGACTTGAAAGGATTACGGCGATTCATCTGATGTTGTCCTTCGCGTCTCAACTGACGTGCAGTGCGGTTCTGAGTGGATTTGAGGGGTGGTGGGCCCCACCTGGACTGCAGAACACACACACACACACACACACACACACACACACAGAGCAACTCAATTCGGATTGGCGTTTGAATGGCTTTTCGACCACCTGCTGTAAATCCTTCCAATGAAGGCGTTCAGTTTAACTGGGTCTGATTAAAAAAAAGCGACAGGCATTAAATAATTGATCGTTTCATTTCAGTCTGGCAAAAATCCACCTCAAAATCTGTGCCAAGAGAGAAGTTTTTTCCTAAACTGAAAAGCAAACTCAAATGGAAAGTCACGGAATTCACGTTATTCGTGTGACCTTTATTCCCGAAAGATGTGCTCGACTCACAGGATATCAGTTATTTACAGTCCAGCACAATTTCCTGGCTACAGTCAGATCTGATCAATACTTTGCGGTGTATAGTATTTATTATTCAGCCTTTTTTTTTGCAATATAGAGTAAAGCGTAGCGTTATTTAAAACTTAACAATAACTTGGACTTATACAGCGCCCTCCACGCCGGACGGCGTCTCAGAGAGCTTTACAGTAACGGATCCCGGGACCGAGCCCGGGGGAGGGGGAGGAAGGTGACCGAAGGCGCAGTCGAAAAGAAAGGTCTTCAACAGAGACCTGAAAATGGGAAGGGAGGGAGCGAGGCGAAGGGATTGAGGAAGGCAGTTCCAGAGCCTCAGGGCATAGTGGCTGCAGGCACGGCCGCCAAGGGTGGAGCGGAGGACTCGGGGGGACAAGGTGGAGGCCAGACCCAGAGGAACGAAGGCAACGGGTACTGTGCTGAGAGAGGAGGTCAGAGAGGTGGGGGATGCAGAGGAGTGCAGGATCTTGAATACGAGGGTGAGGATCTTGAAATCGTGCATACACTTTGCACTTTTAAACTTGAGTCATCCTTCCCTCTGCTCCCAATGTTTGCCTTACAAACACACAGGACTACACTTCAATATCATACCCCAAAGTGCTTGCAGTACTTTGCAGTAAATCCTGCAAGGTACTTTGAGACTTTTCCATGATATGATAAGGCTACATACCAAATGCAAGATTTATCATTATTATGAGAAATGTGTTCCACAAACTAGTGCATATACTGGTACTCCTCTAAACGTTTGTCAAGACATTAATCATCGTGCTTCATCCTGTACGTATAGCTCCAAAAACTTCTTGTTGTGAGTGGATCACATTTCACCAACTGCTCTTCAAATCCCTTCATCTATACAGATGAACAACAGGTGTAGATCTTTTTTCCACCACAAATAACTGAAGACTGCTGGGTGAAGTTAACTGGCCTCAACCCAGTTATTGATTTCAAGTTCACATTTTAGAGATATCACTCTTCCCTTGAATGTGTATGCATTTGATCTGGTACCTTTCAAGTCAGGAGGAAGCCTCAAAGCGCTTCCTAGGATTTACTGTAAAGTACAGTGACTGTATTTTGTGGGTAAATGCGGATATCAGTTTGCACGCAGCAATGTCCCACAAACAGATGTGAAGGTGAATGATCCATTTTATCTGGGAGATTGTTGGTTGACCAGGATGCTGGAAGAAACTCTCTTCTCTTTTCAAACAGTGCGTGGGATCTCTGCAGGGCTTCCGCAAGGAACTGTAATGTGAGTTCAGAGTCCAATGTGGGGCTTCAACCCACAATCTTCTGAGATGTGAGAGTGCCACCAACTGAGCCAGGCTGACACCGATTAGCAAATTTCAGCAGAGTTGATAGTGACCACACAATCCTCCAGCTCATTTAGTTAATTATTTTTTTCCGGTGATGAAGCACAGATCCATTTGCAACAGTAAAAGTTCAGAGCAATCCCTAACTGTGTCCAGGACCATGTATTGTAAGCAGGTCTCCCACAATTGCTGAGTTATAAGGCAAATAATAAAGGGGGTCTGAAAGACACTATCTCAAACGTAAGAATTATTATCACTCCCCTTATCAATTTACTGACACAATCTGCCTCCAATTGCCCTCTGGGAAATGACCACCACATTTTCACAATTCTGTTGAGTTTGCTCTGGCACCTCCCTACAGCTCCGACCTGCTTACCCCCCAACCCATAAAACGCGGCTTCCACTCGACTGGCTCCAGATTTCTGCATGTCGATTGTGCCCTCCATTCCACCATCGGTGGCTGCGCTTTCAGCCACGATGCCCCGAAACTTTAGAACTCTCTTCCTCTATCCCTCTGCCTTGCTCCCTTCGTTCCTCATCTTCAGGCCATGCCTGAAGATCTATCTCTTCGACCGTCACCTCCCCCCTCCTTCCAGCTTGGCAGTGTGCACAGCCACTGTCAAGTGCTCTGGGTTGCTATCCTCATGAGGGGCGCTGTATAAATACAAGTTGTTATTGCTCACCTTCCCTAAACTTGAGTGTATAACCCCTTGTGTAGAATTTGTAACCATGTTGAAGTAATCATTATGATTCTGTTTACCTAATATCTTTCAGAATGTTTAAGCGCTTTTAGTAAGATCTCCCCTGAGCCTTCTCCAGTTGAATATTCCAAACTTCCACAGCCTCATAAATCACTAATTCCATCTTTTAAATCTGATTGCCCTTCTCTGAACCCTCTTAAATTCCAAACACTCCCTATTCCTGACTGTAACACTGTGACAGGAACTGAATGCAGAACACCAGGTGGGACTAAACTAGTATTCGAAACAAGTTCAGTATGGCTTCTCTCATTTTTCTCCCCAGTGTTTTTAGTGTTAGGCAAAACAAAGTTAGATTCTTTTTCTGCAGATTAAGATCTGAAGTTTATGGATGCCTTTCTATATGCCACTATTTATATGTACATTTTTCATACACAATTCTCCAGATTAGAACGAGAACAAATTAATGACCAGAACAGCTGTTACAGCTGAAAGTACACCTTTCAACAACCCAATGGGAATGAACGCCTGCTAGTTACTTCCCAAAGCTCGACCGTTTTCAGTCACTGCAGTGACATCTTCTAGGAATTCCTCCTGATGCTCTTCATTTACACATTACGAAGTCCTTTCTAAATGATGCTTCACTGCTCTGATCTGATAACAGAGAAGTACATCCACAATAAACCCACACTTTTGTCCACAAAATACAGTCAATCCTCTTTACAGTATATTTTGTGACATGTTTTGAAACGTCTCAATGATGTGATATGGTGCAGCATCAAATGTTTCTGTAGAGGTAATTTC